GTAATTCAATTCTAATGAAAATACTTTCATCCTACTTACAAAATTCTAAATGACAATGATTTTCTTTCATTATTAGGTATTTTATGCATGAATATGATGGCTCACAGTTTGTTGTTGGCATTTCATGCCAGAGTTTGCCCACTTTGCAAATGACATAGTCACTGTCAAAAGGTTTTGTAATGAATGAGCCATTTGATTCAATGACAGATGGAGTTGAATTAGTATTTCCATCCATAATTTCATTTAAAGTACTCCAAAGCTTTTTCCCATCATACTTTACATAATTTACAGTATCTTAGTTTCATAATACAATTTCTTGATTTTCTTGATCTTTTATACACTATTTTAAGCCCTTTAAACTTTGGGTTTTCTACATATAGCCACTGTCTTTTGATATTATGATCACTTCATCCAATGGGTATGGTTACAGCTTTAGAGCAGAGTTCTGCAGCATTGGTAACAATGTGATCAATACACGTGGATGAAATAGTTCCTGTACAGTTTGTAAACACCCTGGTAGGTTGATTAATAACCTGAACCAGATTACAGGCACTAGTTACAGTGAGGAGCTTCCTCTTGAGCGGACAGTTTGATGAAAACCAGTCTATATTCAGGTCACCGAAAAAATTGACCTCTCTGTTAACATCACACACATTATCAAGCATTGCACACATAGTATCCAGATACTGACTGTTAGCACTTGGTGGTCTATAGCAGCAACACCAAAATAAGAGGCTTTAGATGATGCAGGTGAACCTGCAACCATAACACTTTAACAACATTAGACATGCGATTCTCTCTAAGCTTTACAGGAATATGGTCTCTTCTGTAGATGTTATATCCCTGTATTGCCACCGCTGTATCATCAAAGGTGTTATCTAAGTGTCCTAGAGGATGAGAAGAGTAGCCTCGCCCTGTCTCTCAGCAAGGTAACTAACCCCTAACCCTGGTGACAGTCAGGGGCGCTCTGAGTCAGGTCACCCTGCAGAAGGAGGTCCTAGAGGATGAGAAGAGTAGCCTCACCCTGGGGGGGGGGGGGGGGGGGGGGGTGATATCCGGCTCGAAGGACCATGCAGGGATGCTACTATACTGTTACTCAACAGATAAACCCTCTGGTACCCCCTCTAGTAATCATGGTTCCCCTGCCTACAGATGGAGTCCCAAAGTGCAGAACAGGAGCTGTCAGTCACCAAGCTACAGAGCCAGGAGGCTAGGCTAAGAGACTCTCTGGCCAAGATGGCTGCCCTGAGTGAAGGCCTGGCCAACGACAAGGTGGAACTCAACCGCATCCTGCTACAGGTCAGTGCTGCTGCTACTGCTGCTACTACTACTACTACTACTACTACTACTACTACTACTACTACTACTACTACTACTACTACTACTACTACTACTACTGCTGCTAGTACTACTACTACTACTACTACTACTACTACTACTACTACTATACTACTACTACTACTACTACTACTACTACTACTACTACTACTGCTACTACTGCTACTACTATACTACTACTACTACTACTGCTACTACTACTACTGCTACTACTACTACTACTACTACTGCTACTACTATACTACTACTACTACTACTACTACTACTACTACTTTCTACTACTACTGCTACTACTGCTACTACTATACTACTACTACTACTGGGGCGGCAGGTAGCTTAGTGGTTAAGAGCGTTGTGCCAGTAACCGAAAGGTCGCTGGTTCTAATCCCCGAGCCGACTAGGTGAAAAATCTGTCGATGTGCCCTTGAGCAAGGCACTTAACCCCAATTGCTCCTGTAAGTCGCTCTGGATAAGAGCGTCTGCTAAATGACTAAAATGTAAATGTAACTACTACTACTACTACTACTACTACTACTACTGCTACTGCTACTACTGCTACTACTACTGCTACTATACTACTACTACTACTACTATATGACTACTACTACTGCTACTACTACTATACTACTGCCCCTACTACTACTGCTACTATACTGCTACTACTTTGCTAACTATACTCGACTACTACTACGCTACTGCTACTAACTACACTAACTACTACTCTACTGCTACTACTACTAACTACTATCACTATTCTAACTATACTACTACTACTACTGACCTACTACTGCTACTGCTACTTCTACTACTACTACTAACTACTATACTACTACTACTACTACTTACTACTATACTACTACTACTACTACTACTACTACTACTACTACCTACCTACTACTACTACTCTACTGTGACTACCACTACATACTGCACTACTACTACTACTACTACTACACTACTACTACTACTACTACTACTATACTACTACTATACTACTACTACTACTATACTACACTACTACTACTTACTACTACTTACTACTAACTACACTACTACTACTCTACTACTAACCTACTACTACTACTACTTACTACTACTACTACTACTACTACTAATACTTACTACTACTACTACTACTTTGATACTACCTACTACTACTACTACTACTACTACTACTACTACTACTACTACTACTACTACTACTACTATACTGACTACTACTACTACTACTACTACTACTACTATACTACTACTCTACTACTACTACTACTACTACTTACTGATACTACTACACTACTACACTACTACCTACTACTACTACTACTACTACTACTACTCTTGTACTACTACTACTACTACTACTACTACTACTACTACTACTACTACTACTACTACTACTACTACTACTACTACTAACTACTACTACTACTACTACTACTACCTACTACTCTACTACTACTACTGTTGATACTACTACTACTATACTAGCTACTACTACTACTGACTACTGACTACTACTACTACTATACTACTACTACTACTAACTACTACTACTACTACTACTACTACTACTACTACTAACTACTACTACGTTGATACTACACTACTACACTAACTACTACTACTGACTATACACTACAACTACTACTACTACTACTACTGTTGATACTACCACTACTACTACTGACCTAGCTACTTACTACTACTACTACTCTGCTCTACTACTACTACTACTATATCTACTACTACTACTACTACTACTACTGCACTGGACTACTACTACTACTGTATGCATACTACTATCTACTACTACTGCTACTGCTCTGCTACACTACTACTGCTACTGCTACTATACTGATACTAGCTATTGCTACTCTACTACTACTACTACTACTATACTACTACTACTACTTACTACTTAACTACTAACATACTACTACTACTATACTACATAATACTACAACTACTATTACTACTATGTACTAGTACTATCAGTCTGAGTCAGAGGCGATATGAAGGAAGGTACTTCAGTACTACCTTGACAAACCTCTCTTCACCTTCTTCTCAAAACTAAAGAAACAAGTTCGATGAGAGCACAGCTGAGGAGAGGTAGTTGAGGAGAGGTGAGGAGTCACATACTAATGACATAATCCATTACTTCACTGTCTTCCAGATCGAGGGTGAGAAGGCGGAGGTAGGTGAGCGTCGTCGGGAGGCGGAGGTGGAGAGGGCTTCGGCCAGGGAGGAGATGGGGAGGCTGCAGCAGGAGCTCCAGGACCTGACTGCTGACAGACGGGCCCTGGAGACCTCCTATAGCCTCCTGCAGGAAAACAACCAGAGACTGGAGGCTGAACTGGCACTGCTGCGGAGGGAGAACAACCAAATCCTGGAACAGCATGCACAGGTCAGGCTCAGACCTCCTTTTGGTCCTCCCCCCTCCTCCCTCCCTCCCTCCCTCCCTCCCTCCCTCCCTTCCTCCTCCTTCCTTCCCTTCCTTCTTCCTTCCTTCCTTCCTTCCTTCCTTCTTCCTTCCTTCCTTTCCTTCCTTCCTTCCTTCCTTCCTCCTTCCTTCTCCTTCCTTCCTCCTCCCTACATCCCCTTCCTTCCCCTACCTCTGCCTTCCCTTCTTCCTTCCTTCCTACTTTCCTTCCTCTTCTTCCTCCTTCCTCAATCTTCCTCCAACTCCTCATGCCCTACCCGGCCTCAACCCGCCGCGCAAGACGCCACCCTACCCTCCCTCCCTCCCTCCCTCCTCACCTCCCTCCCTCCCTTCCTTTCCTCTCCTTCCTTCCTTCCTTCCTTCCTTCCTTCCTTCCTTCCTTCCTCCTCTCTCCTCCCTCCTCCTCCCTCCCTCCTCTCCTCCTCCCCTCCTCATTCCTCCCCCCCATTCTCCTCCACCTAAGGGAGTCACGCCACTAGTGATTCACAGCTTTGAGCAGCTTTATGGGTCTCATTGTCACATTAAAACGCAATAGGAGATATTGGATCCATCTGCCTTGGTACTCAACACCTCTCTCTCTGATGGGATGTGAGTCTTGGCTCTGCTATGTGTTTTATGAGGAACATGGGAGAAGGGAGGCAGGGGATCCTCGTGTACGCATGTGAGCTGGAAAGGATAAATAGAAATTACAGACATGTAATATCGCAGCAGAAGAACCAATAAATTAGCGCCTGTACGGCTGTACTCCCTCCCTCCCTCCTTCCCTCCTAATCCCGATCCCAGATCTCTCCTGTGCCGTTTCCTCTCAGAAACAATAGAAATTACATTTACATTTTACAGATGCTCTTATCCAGAGCGACTTACAGTTAGTGAGTGCATACATTTTTCATACTGGCCCCCCCGTGGGAAACGAACCCACAACCCTGGCGTTGCAAGCGCCACGCTCTACCAACTGAGCTACAGGGGGAGACAATCATTCCATTAGTGTTTTATTATATGTTCTATGGAACAATGGAACTCTGTGTTGAGAGAGAGAATTTTCACGATTCTAAACATTCTATCTGGACAAATCCCTTCCAAACATTTTCAGATAACTTATCTGTGAAAGTAAATTAGCCGTGTATAAAACAAGCTTAGCTATGGCACACCATCTCTTTCTGCTTGTGGTTTTTAGCTCTTTTTCGGAGCAATTCACACTCCTAATATTGGTCTAATGCTTCTCCGTATTTAACTAATGAGAGGCTATAAAATAATATTTTAGTTAGTTCATTTCCAAAAATGAACTAAATGACAATCATTATTGGTGTTCAAACAGTGCTATTGTACTGAACTATTAGATGTGAGTGGGGGTTAGTTAGAGTGAGTCAGCGTGTATAACTGCAGGATGTGTGATGTGTCCCAAATGGCCCCTTATTAGTGCTGAACGATTAACCAACATTTTGGTGGGGGGGGGTTTGGTTATTAAACAACTACTGACCGACGTCGGTTCAATTACTTGAATTCCATTTAGTTTGTTTGTTTTGTGAGCCCAATGCGACGTTTCTCTAGAGAGAAATCAAATCATTCATAAGAAAAATCGGAAGAAATCAAGTCAAGACTCTGTACCGGTACCCCTGTATATACAGTGGGGGGAAAAAAGTATTTAGTCAGCCACCAATTGTGCAAGTTCTCCCACTTAAAAAGATGAGAGAGGCCTGTAATTTTCATCATAGGTACACGTCAACTATGACAGACAAATTGAGACAAAAAAAATCCAGAAAATCACATTGTAGGATTTTACTTATATTCCACCATAATTTGCAAATAAATTCATTAAAAATCCTACAATGTGATTTTCTGGATTTTTTTTCTCTCATTTTGTCTGTCATAGTTGACGTGTACCTATGATGAAAATTACAGGCCTCTCTCATCTTTTTAAGTGGGAGAACTTGCACAATTGGTGGCTGACTAAATACTTTTTTACCCCACTGTAGCCTCCCTACTGTTATTTTATTTTGCTGCTGCTTTTTAATTATTTTTATTTTGTAGTTATCTATTTTTTACTTAACACTTATTTTTCTTAAAACTGCATTGTTGGTTAAGGGCTTGTCAGTAAGCATTTCACTGTAAGGTCTACACCCGTTGTATTCGGCGCATGTGACAAATAACATTTGATTTGATTTGTACACGACACAACAAGGAGGGACAGTTTGTGAAAGTATACCTCATCTACTTTGAAGAACTAGTATAATGATTTAGTCAGACAGCTTTCCAGGTATCTCTAGTTAGGATAGCTAAATAAGATGACTAAAGACAGTACATTAAAAGGAAGGGAAAGGAAGGTAAAGGGGGATACCTAGTCAGTATCAACTGAATGAATTCAACTGAAATGTGTCTTCCGCATTTAACCCAATCCCTCTGAATCAGTATGGGGAGCACATAACGTTAGATGGTCTGGCTGGCTGACTGCTACTGCCTGAGCAGAGATTAGATTATTACTTTAAGGAATTAAAAAATAATAAAGTCATCAAATAAAACAAATTCATATTTTTTAATGTCACAGTAATTTCTTGTTTTTCTATTGTTTACCCAATGTGGAATATTTTCAGTGTTTTGGCAGTTGAATGTTCACTATTTTTGGCTTTGGAATTTCCATTAAAAAGCTCTAAAATCATTGTAACGTCATTATTCCAGATTACATTTCATGTTTAAAAAATACTAAACCGAAATCCAAAACTTGATTATTTTTGTAATAATCGAACCGAAACCGAACCGACCTCATTGAGCACTAATCGCTCAGCACTACCCCTTATTCCCTATGTAGTGCACTACTTTAGCTCCGGTCAAAAGTTGTGCACTATCTAGGGAATAGGGTGCCATTCTCTGGTCTAAAGTAGTGCACTATATAGGGAATAGAGTGTCATTCTTTGGTCTAAAGTAGTGCACTATATAGGGAATAGGGTGTCATTCTCTGGTCTAAAGTAGTGCACTATATAGGGAATAGGGTATCATTCTCTGGTCTAAAGTAGTGCACTACATAGGGAATAGGGTGCCATTCTCTGGTCTAAAGTAGTGCACTATATAGGGAATAGGGTGCCATTCTCTGGTCTAAAGTAGTGCACTATATAGGGAATAGGGTGCCATTCTCTGGTCTAAAGTAGTGCACTATATAGGGAATAGGGTGCCATTCTCTGGTCTAAAGTAGTGCACTACATAGGGAATAGGGTGCCATTCTCTGGTCTAAAGTAGTGCACTATATAGGGAATAGGGTGCCATTCTCTGGTCTAAAGTAGTGCACTATATAGGGAATAGGGTGCCATTCTCTGGTCTAAAATAGTGCACTATATAGGGAATAGGGTGTCATTCTCTGGTCTAAAGTAGTGCACTACATAGGGAATTTGAGACATAGTATGTCAGGAAATGGCCTTTTCCACTCAGCAGGGAAAGCTCTAGAATTACAGGGTAATATTATGATATCCTGCATTGTGAGAGGTTATAGTAAACTACCATGGCTACGTCCCAAACTGCACCCTATTCCCTAGTGCACTACTTTTGACCAGGGTCCATAGGGCTCTGGTCAAAAGTAGTGCACTACGTAGGGAATATGAAGGTAATGGGGGGGGGGGGGGGGGGGGCATTTGGGACGTAGCCCATTCCTTTTTACCCTGGAGCCTCAACCTAAACTTAACTCTCTGATTGACGTGCAATATCCCGTTTTTTATTTTTTTTTATGTTACTGCATGATATAGGATTACCATACGGTGAATAACAGTTTAGATATCGTGAACGTTTGACCCTAGCCTCGTCGAGAACCAGGCTTTCCTAATCGGTAAGCCTGGTGAAGTCTATGGCCCGAAAAATAGCTAAAAAAGGGGGGGCAGGTTGGCATTTATTGTCATGAATCTTGTCCTGGAGGCAGCTCTGCAGACTGGTCACTAGCTAGCACAGCCACAAAGTCATAAGATCAGATTTGAAACCTAACCTTAACCTTAACCACACTGCTAACTAATTTTTAAGATATAGCCAATTTTGCAGCTGGCCCATCTAGTGGAAATCGCTCAGTTCTGCCTCCATGGCAACTTACATGACAATCAACTTCAACCGGTAGAAAGTGGTGGAGACACGGGTGTAAATGTGTGTGACGCCTCGCAACATCTTTAAACCAATCAAACGCCTTTCTTGGGCGGAGCTTAGCTGTCTAAACTGAACTCCACGATTTACGACGGAGTTGAGCGGCGACTAGTGTGGGCGGAATGGAGCGGAACAATCTCGGGTGTAATTTCATGTCACGTCGAAGCTCAAGTTCACCCACACTAGTCGCCGCTCAACTCGTAAAATCATTGAGTTTAATCGTCTAGGTGGAGCTTAACACGCAGCACCAGTCAACACGTCAAACCAATCAAATGCTTTGCTTGGGCGGAGCTTAACACGCATTACTCCTTCACGTGGGGGGGAAGGTTCTGGAAATGTGACGGCTTTTACTCCTTCACGTGGGGGGAAGGTTCTGGAAATGTGACGGCTTTTACTCCTTCACGTGGGGGGAAGGTTCTGGAAATGTGACGGCTTTTACTCCTTCACGTGGGGGGGAAGGTTCTGGAAATGCGACGGCTTTTACTCCTTCACGTGGGGGGAAGGTTCTGGAAATGCGACGGCTTCGCGACACTTGTTTGGCCCTAAAGTGTACGAACCCAGAGAAGATACCATACCACGTTATCGTAGAACATTGAAAACATATCTCTTACTGTATCTCATACTACAAATTATATCTATATATATCTATATATAATATATAGATATCTTAGTCATTAATACTTTATTACCACCACAATAACTTTGGGACATTGTTACCATGACTGGGTAAACCGATGAGAGTGTGTTCATCCCAAGGTCAGCAGGTCTGGGATGTGTATCTGTGTCAGTTAGCAGGTCTGGGATGTGTATCTGTGTCAGTTAGCAGGTCTGGGATGTGTATATGTGTCAGTTAGCAGGTCTGGGATGTGTATCTGTGTCAGTTAGCAGGTCTGAGATGTGTATCTGTGTCAGTTAGCAGGTCTGGGATGTGTATCTGTGTCAGTTAGCAGGTCTGAGATGTGTATCTGTGTCAGTTAGCAGGTCCCTGTCATAGCAGCGGTCTGTGATTGGTTGTTGTGATGTCCTATGATGTGTTCCTGTGTTGCCTTCCCAGGTCAAAGAGCAGGTCCACTCCCTGTCCGACCAACTGACCTCCAGCAGTAGAGAGCTGGACAGCCAGGCTGTGGCCCTACAGAGGGCCCACCGTGACCGAGAGGATCTGGCCAAGGACAAGGCCAGTCTGGGGGTCCAGCTGACTTCCGCTGACCGCAGGGCCTGGGGCCTGGCACAGGAGCTGGCCATTCTCAGGTAGGGCAGTGTGTGTTCGGGTTTGGGTTGGAGAAGCGTGGTGGGGGGGGGTTATGTGTGTCTGTTTATTGTACAGTAAGAACAGTACCGTAGCGTGTAACAAG